CCTTTTTTATTGGTGCCCAACTTTAATGCTCTGTCCTCAAACTCCTTTTCATCACGTTTAAAGATTTTGGGTTTTACTTGTAACCAATTGTATGTATCAAACTGTAAATACACACGTCGACAATAACAAGGATAACAAGTCGCTGGACATCGGTATCTACCATCACATAATCGGGAATCCTTTTCAAATTTCGCCTTCAAACATGTTTGATGATACAAATGTCCACATTTGGTTGATGCGCTAATAATGTCTTCGTTATTGAAATACTTATTACAATTTGAACATTGAACACTTGATGAGTCCATTTTTAAATAAAATAGTTTTAATTACTTTTAATAAGTTCTTTAGATAAAAAGTCTTTAGTTGTTGATCTGAAGAATTTTGCTTTACTAATTCTAATATGAATATAAATCTTCCTTTTATTGCAAAATGTTTATGAAAAATCCCATAAAAACCGTCATCGTTCTGTCGCATGTCTTCACTAGGATTGCGGTTACTATCAGTTAAAAAGTACATCACAAATATATGATTCAATTACATTATCTGATGTAATTGATACATCTATATAAATATGAACATTGCATCCTATTTTATACAATTTTTTCGAATCTTTATATTTTTTGGTCTCGCTATATAAAATAGTTATATTAAAACTTTATGAAATAAGATTGAAATGAAAAATATAGATAGACAAGATATTTAATAATGCAATTAGCTGATAAAATCAGTTTTCGATATAGAGTGACTTATCATGTTACTGCAGCAAGCCCTCTAATTAATTTATTCATAAATTTAGTGATTAATATTATTTCTAAATAAATAAATGACTATAATTGTTAATAATAGGAGCCATGCGCATTATAAGTAGAATTAGAAGTTTAATAGGAAGTCTGTCGTTAATATTAATCGGATAGGAAAAATTAGAACAATATAAACACAATTACAAAATTTTTTGCAACTTTTATAATTAAAAGTTGTAAGAACTAATCGTGGTAACAAGAAGATGGATAAATACTTGAAATGTAAAGGCATAATTCATCAACTTACTGATCCCTACACATCTGAACAAAATGGGGTGGCAGAAAGGAAAAACCAAAGTTTAATGGAAATGACAAGATGCATATTAAATGATGCTGAAATCAACATCCAGTATTAGACGGAAGTTTTTAATTATTAATTATTAAATTAATTATTAATTTAAACTACAAGAATATTGTTATTAGTAGAGATGTGGAGTTTATTGAATCGAATAAATCTGATGTTGATCTTATTAAAGTCAATGATGAAGAATATTCTGAAAACATGGTAAATGTATTGATGAGAAATGTGAATATTGAAAAAAGAAACTCCTAAATAACCACGATATGCGGAATCCCTAGTATCTGGCGACGTCACTGATAACGTCATGTTGAGTATAGGAAGGAAATTTAGTCTTTCTTGTGAAAAGAAACGGTTTCGTTTGTTGTGCCCTCCGAGGCCCTCCTGCATAAATATTTCTTCTTTTCAAATTTTATGTCGATTAAATCCCTATTAAAAGATTAATTTTCAATACATTGCATATTTACAAGGACCATAAACATATGACCAGGAAATACATATATACATACATATGTATATGGTCCTTGTAAATATGATTATGTGAGTAAACGATTAAGTGGCTACAATTGTTATGGAGCGTTTAATTAGTAAATTGTCATCATTATATTTTTATGAGATAATATAATTGAATTATTTATTTTTGATATACCTTTGATTACCGCAAAGAACGATGCCGTATTCTAGAATCTATTAATAGTGAAGTCGTACGACAGAGTAATGACGTTTTTTTTTTAAATTTATTTCATAAATACTTTGCAAAAAAAAGAAACTTTATCATCTAATTGCAAGTAGTAAAGAAGAATTCATAAGATTAACAACTAAAGCCTTTTTATCTAAAGAACTTATTAAAAGTAAAACTTTTTACTTAAAAATGGATTCATCAAGTGTTCAATGTTCAAACCAAATGTGGACATTTGTATCATCAAACATGTTTGAAGGCGAAAGTTGAAAAGGATTCCCGATTATGTGATGGTAGATATCGATGTCCAGCAACTTGGTATCCTCGTTATTGTCGACATGTGTACTTACAATTTAATACTTTCAATTGGTTAGAAGTAAACCCCAAAATTTTTAAACGTGATGAAAAGGAGTTTGAGGACAGAGCATTAAAGTTGGGCACCAATAAAAAAGGTTATAATATTTATGCGGCTCGTGTTATTCTTGAAGATAAAGTTAAAAAATGTTACTATAATGTACAAACCGAACAGATATACGCTGATTTTGAATGCAATTCAGAATATGTTTCTAAGCCATATGAAATTTTAGATGTCAGTTAAGATTCTGAACATCAATATATTTGGGAAGATTGTCGACAATCATCATGCAATGATTATTTCCAGAATAATAAAAGATTATTAAGGATTCCTGCCAAAATGTAATCATTTTGAAGAAATACTGTGCAGCCATTATTTTTTATATTTATAAATAAAATAAGAATTTAAAACAAAATCATTGAAACAAATTTTATTTTTCATTCCCCGATATAACAACAAATATATCGGAATATTTATAAATTTTCTTCGACCTTTTTATCCTATTAATAAGTGAAAAAATTGATTCGAGCTTGCGGTCGTATGTTTATCTTTCAATATTCCCTTTATTGTCATACGAAATTTCGACATCCTTTGGATGTCATCTTAAGGAATCTTAAAATATATATAACAACATTTACGTGTTAAAATAATATAAGCCATTAAATGTTTAACCCAGAGACTGGAATCTGGTCTTAAGATGTCTCAAATTCAGGCCAACGAAATGAAGGCTTGTGAAAACTTTTAAAACCTATTCGTAAAGTATGTACTATGCCTAGGACAATATATAAATCGTTGCGCAATACAAACCGCAAGAATATCGGCGACAAATGAATGAATAAAGTTTTATTCTTAGAAAACTATAATTCAATATTTATAAATCAGTCGTCACAATATTTAGTTTAATTGAACAGCATATGTCATATGAATCTCAGCAAAAAGTAATGCCTATAAGTATATTATGGACTTTAAAAGATTTTCGTGAAGAGTATTATGTATGGGGGCTATTGTTGCCAATGAATCTACTATTACTAAAATCGGCAGTATATTTCTTTACTGTTATAAAACTGAACTGAATTTAGATAAAGATACATGCATATTTAACAGGAGCTCCAAAGTCATATTTGGGAGATTCCGTTGTATGGAAGCTAGGTAAAATAATGGACCGATTTAAATTCATCGAATTATTATCTTCAAAATTGAGATCTGTACATTGATTACAAGGCTTACATGGACGGATGAAAAAGACGTACGGAAGGACATGGCTTAATCTACTCAGAAAATGATTGAAGTTGATTGGTATACTTTAAGTAGTAGTAGGACTTAGGACCAATATTTTGTGGATTACAAACATCAGAACAAACGTATAATATCCTCCCCACTATAGTGGTGTTTTGTATAAAAATGTGTGTAATAATTGTCGTATATACGCTACGATATGGACTGATTCCATCTTAATTAATTAATCGATTTAATCAACTTCTCACTATTTTATAATATTAAGATTGTATCAATATTATATATTAAAATCTCAAAAATCGATATGGACTGATTCCATCTTAATTAATTAATCGATTTACTCAACTTCTCACTATTTTATAATATTAAGATTATATCAATATTATATATTAAAATCTCAAAAATCTCTTGAGTCTTTAACGGGTATGAGTAGTATAAGGGTTAGTAAAGGTTCTCTTTATAGAGTTATAGGGTAGAAGGGGGACCATACGCCACTTTTTTTTGAGGCTGCCTGAAATTAAAACCACAATACATATTCTTAATTTTTTTCTTGGTTCGGATACTTAGATATGTTGGCTTTAGTTTTATTCCTTTCAATCTTTCCTAAGTCATCCTCGTGTACATATTTTTTTAACTTTTCCGCACTGACCAAAAACGGCGATACCGCCCCATCCATGGGGTAAATGCGCCAAGGGGATGGGGCAGATTTGTCATTAGTAAAATAAAAGATAAGATTACAAAAATAAAAACTTATTTTGCTGTTTTATACTTTAATTCATTAAACAAAGTATAATAAACCAGATATTTATTGTTTATTTCACAAAACTTAACAAAAAAATTAAAACTAATTATTACTGATTTTTTTATATTTTAACCAAATTTTGTTCTACATCACAAGCATTACATATATTTGGCGTATGTGCCCCACGGGCAGTTCTGGGGTTTAGTTTCAATTTTTTTCGGGCTTCAAATTATATTATTGAAAATATTATTATGTCTTATTGTTCACTATTATTGACGTTCTAATACTGACCAATATATTTTTTCTATCACAAAAACTAAAAAAGTTAGCACAAAAAGTTCACACAGTGAAATATTTTCTCAGCCCTTTGAAAAACAATAAATCATGTCTGCCTCCCATCATATGTAAAGTTAATGTTTCAAATTTTCAGGGATGATAGATACTCGATAAACGAAAACAAAATTTGATAATGCGATAAAATCGATTACTCAGTTTTCAAGTTATTCGCTATTGGCAGATGTGCCCCTATGGCTATGATCCCCCTTCTACCCTACATGTTGTTATGAAACTTATTATAACGAACTTTATCATTGTCAGAGTGATTTTTGAAAGAGGTCCTCCAATGGGATTTTAGATCAATTATGGGCAGGTTTTGATTAGTATAAATTATGGGGACAATTTTTTTTAATTTCTAATTTAAGTTTTTGTTAATTTTTTATATTACACTCTGTAAAACCTGCATTGTTAAAGTAATTGTAAAAGTTTTATTTAAATGCTAATTTTATTAATAAATATCAAATAATGGTTGCCTTACTTTAATAAAACAATAAAGTAAAATATCAAGAGTATTAAATCTAAAACTAAAACAGCACAGCTTTTCTGCAATATGATTACATTTTGGCCGGTATTCTTAATAATTTTTTATTATTTTTGAAATAATCATTACTTGATGTTTGTTGGCAATCTTCCCAAACGTATTGATATTCAGAATCCTGGCTGACATCTAAAATTTCATATGGCTTAGAGACATATTCTGAATTACATTCAAAATCAGCGTATATCTGTTCGGTTTGTACATTATAGTAACATTTTTTAATTTTATCTTCAAGAATAACACGAGCGGCATAAATATTGTGACCTTTTTTATTGGTGCCCAACTTTAATGCTCTGTCCTCAAACTCCTTTTCATCACGTTTAAAGATTTTGGGTTTTACTTGTAACCAATTGAAAGTATTAAATTGTAAGTACACACGTCTACAATAACGAGGATAACAAGTCGCTGGACATCGATATCTACCATCACATAATCGGGATTCCTTTTCAAATTTCGCCTTCAAACATGTTTGATGATACAAATGTCCACATTTGGTTGATGCGCTAATAATGTCATCGTTATTAAAATACTTATTACAATTTGAACATTGAACACTTGATGAATCCATTTTTAAATAAAATTTTTTTAATTACTTTTAATAAGTTCTTTAGATAAAAAGTCTTTAGTTGTTGATCTGAAGAATTTTGCTTTACTATTTCTAATATTAATATAAAGCTTCCTTTTATTGCAAAATATTTGTGAGAAAAATCTGTTAAAAAACGTCATCGTTCTGTCGCATGTCTTCACTAGCATTGCGGTTTTTATCAGTTAAAAGTACATCAGAAATAGATGATTCAATTACATTATCTGATGTAATTGAATCATCTACATATAAATATATGAATATTGCATCCATTTCCAATATATTTTTTGGTCTCGCTATATAAAATAATTATATTAAAATTTTATGAAAATATTTTTGGTGGAGGTAGACAAGATATTTGATAATGCAATTAACTGATAAAATCAGTTTTCGATATAGAGTGGCTTATCATGTTACTGCAGCAAGCCCTCTAATTAATTTATTCATAAATTTAGTGATTAATATTATTTCTAAATAAATAAATGACTATAATTGTTAATAATAGGAGCCATTCGCATTATAAGTAAAATTAGAAGTTTAATGGGAAGTCTGTCGTTATTATTAATCGGATGGGTAATATTAGAACAAATTAAACACAATTATATTTTTTGCAACTTTTATAATAACATTTAAATGGTGACAAATTATTAATTTTATATTACATATATAAGGATTGGCCTTATGGTCTTCGATTGAAGTTGCACCTCTTTATGGCGCATAACCCTTCATAACCTAACCTAAACATAAGGTTGGCCAACAAATTTATATATCTGATGTTCCCGCAGAAAGTGAAAATTTCATTAATTTTTGTTCAATTTTGAGAAATGATATCCTAGCATATCTCAAAAGTTTTGCCCTGACAATAATATTTGGTGAGCTGGATCAAAGATAAAATGGTCTTTTTGAGGTTTTCAATTGGGTTTCTTTAATTTTTTATTGCAATTTAATATCCAACAATACATATCGATGTTGGGCGCTATGTAGGAGAACCATAGGATTAATACATAAATCTATATTGTAATACAAAATATCTACTATGCAGGTTATACACATCATTTTATCATCATCAAACTTACTGCCTGTAAGCGTATCGTATAAGAACCGGTCCATATAGGACCCTCTTCAGAGGCCTGATTACTAGCTTGAAAATAATAATATAGGAATAAAACCTTAAACTCTCTCGCGCAAATTTCATAAGAATCGGTCCATATTGGATTTTAGCCACCATAAAGTCCACTACAGAAAATGCATCGAAAAAACACTTTGTAATTATACCCTACACCACTTTAGTGGGGAGGGTATATTGGATTTGTGCTGATGTTTGTAACATACAAAAATATTCGTCCTAGACCCACCTTAAAGTATACCAATCGGCTTAGAATCGTTTTCTGAGTCGATTAAAGATAATTGGATGAAATTTGGCACGCATGTTTTATTTGACCCAAGGACGAAGCCTATTGAAAATGGTTAAAATCGGTCCATTATTTCACCTAGCCCCCATAGAACAGAACCCCCCGAAAAGGGCTTTTGAGCTCATAATTATGTTAAATATACAGATATATCGATAAAATGCGGCACAACTAAGTTTTATAGAAGTCTTGATAACCCTACCAAATTTCATAAAGATCGGGCCCCATTTGACCCTAGCTCCCATACATAGTACCCTTCAGAAAATTACTTGAATGTCCCAAATTAACTGATAAACACAAATATCGCGATGAAATTTAGCACAATAAAATATTATGTAAATATAAATATATTCAGCCCCCAGCCCCCATATAAAGCCTCTTTCAGAAAATTAGTTTTTCATTCATAAATTGCTTAAATGTATCGGAACAAGGGAATATTGAAGATAAATGCTTTATTATGAAAAATAAATCACATTTAATATTCATAACTGGTGTAGGGTATCATATGGTCGGCCACGCCCGACTATACTATCTTACTTGTTTTATGTGAATCGGTTAATAATTAATCATATCCCCTTTCATTTTAGTATTATGATACAATTCGATAAAAAGTATCAATCTTGCTTTTAAATTCTTAAGAGATCGGTCCATTACTACCCATACACTATTATAAAATTTACATACTTTGATAGATTCGGCATAGCCAAATATAACATTCTTACCTGTTCATTATGATATAAAATATACATACAACTTATAAATAGGTTTTAACTAAAAAAAAAAGTAAGAATGTGTAGTCGGGCATTAGAGGTGATAGAGGGTATATATAAGTTTATTATTATCTAAGACCCAACAAAGTATATATATTCCGGGTCCTTATCAAATTCTGAGTCGAATTAGCTGCCTAAAACACGCTCACGTTAAAACTAATCAAAGGAAGTAATTCAAATTCAACGAAAATATTCATTGATGTCCTAAACAGTTTGGTATTGAAAATCAACAAAATCGGTTCACAACGTTTAAATATATTAGTAAAAAATTCAGACTACCTCTAAAAAATTAATTTTTTTTTCCTAATTCTCGGGTTGTTTCCTCAAAAACTACTGAAGATAATATTATATATTATTGCAGATATATTTTGCAGATATCTATATGATATAAACAGAAATCATATTACCAACTTAGATCTGTATCCGTCCATAATTGGTCATAACTCACATAAAAGGTCCACTTTCGAAAATCACTTAAATACACATAACTTATTGAGAAATAAAGTTATTGGAATAATATTCGGCATAAATATGTTTTGTGTATACTTATATGACTCTACTAAATTTTTTCCGGATCGGTCCACAATTAGTCATAGCTCTTGTACAAGGACCACTACCGATAACCACGTAAACGGAAATTTTTCATTACTGAATAAAGATATTGGTATAAAATTCGTAATGAATGCGTTTAAAGTAAATATAAACCATCCTGAGAAATATTTTCCGGATCGGTCCATAATTGGTCTCATAGATCTCATATGAGATCCACTTATGAAAATCGTATATTTCATTGATAAATAAAGATATTGGACGAAAATTTGGAATAAATAAGTTCTTTATATATACAAATCACTTCTGGATAGGCCCAAAATTTGTCTAGTCATCGATATACAGTCCACTTCCGAAAATTACTTAAACGCATATATTTCATCGACGAAAAGAGATATATCTAATTCCAGCAAAAAAATAACTTCCAAAGAAGCGAAAAAGAAGTAGAATTTACTCTATGGAAGTACTGAAAAAAGATCTGAAGAAGTGATGATTTTAACACAGGCTTGGCATGGGAGATATGTCCTTTTTATTTGATTCCAAATTCATTACTTCTGAAGTCATTCTCAAGAAGTAATTTTAATGCTCTTTTTTTGGAAGTTATTCGGAAGTGAAATTGTAGTATTATATGTAGAATACAAATTTGACTTAAATAATATTAACATTAATTAGGATACTACTTTTGAAGTGATGATAAATGTTATTCTTTTGGAAGTACTTCATTTTATTTTTGCTGGGAATATATTTTTTTTTTTCCATAATAAGTCAAAGATCCACTTTCTTAAGTCACTTCATAAGTTTATATGGATAAAATCCGAAATAAAATATTTTGAATATCTATAAATCATTCTGGGAAATTTTATTCGAATTGGCCAATAATTGGTCATATCTTACATAAAGTCTAGTCTATAAGACTTGATCAAAGTTAGTTCCATAAATGTATAAAACAACTAATAAATGATTTCTAAATGATAGCACCCTCATCACGTAATATCTAAAACTACTTAGATGTGTTTTCATAAAAAGTAGCTTACAGGTGGAGGGTATTTAAGATTCGGCCAAGTCCACAATTGGTCATAGCTCTTATATAAGGACCACTACCAATAACCACGTAAACGGAAATTTTTCATTACTTAATAAAGATATATTGGTATAAAATTCGTAATGAATGCGTTTAAAGTAGATATAAACCATCCTGAGAAATATTTTCCGGGTCGGTCCATAATTGGTCATATATCTCATATGAGATCCACTTATGAAAATCGTATATTTCATTGATAAATAAAGATATTGGACGAAAATTTGGCAGAAATAAGTTCTTTATATATACAAATCACTTCTGGATAGAGATATCTCTAGTTCCAGCAAAAAAAGAACTTCCAAAGAAGGAAAAAGAAGTAGAATTTATTCTATGGAAGTACTGAAAAAGATCTGAAGAAGTGATGATTTTAACACAGGCTTGACATAGGAGATATGTCCTTTTTAGTACATATTAACTAAAAAATCCTAACTTGTTTTTCTAAGAATACAACATTTTACCTTTATTCCGAAATATTTGAAAAAGTGTTTGCCAAAAAAAAGTAATTTTCTGAAAGAGGGGTTATATGGGGGCATATATCTCCTCTTTTTCTTTTGCCCTATTATGTGCCAAATTTCTTTAAATTATTTTGAAAATTGCGACCTGTAGCGTGGCTGTTACAAATATCAGCACAAACGTGTAGTACCCTCCCCACTATAGTAGTGTAGGGTATAAAAATTTTAACCTTGAATATGATTACCAAAATTGCGTATGTTTAAATGAAAATGCATTGTAATCATTCTGATCATAATTCATATTACTAATATAATTTCTAAAAAAACCTTACTGTAGTTTATAAAAGATAGTATTCTTTAGACATTTGTCTCGATTTGAGATTAATTTTTTTATTATTTATGTTTTCTTAAATAAATAGATAAAATAAGAGAAAAACAAAAGACACAATTTTGAAAGAAATAAACTATTAAATAGAAAGTTTTGTTTTAAGTTGCATCATAATACAAAAGTAAATAAATTTAATAAAATAAACAGAAATAGAAAAACAAAACTAAAAACAAACAAATTAAGATAAAAACAATGTTTTTAAAGAATTTTAACATAAAAATTGTTTAATAAAAAATATGATTTTTTGCTGCTTATCTTAAAAACTAAAGTAAATATTTTATGTATGCATTTGCATATGGCTACAGACGGATTTCACACCATTATTAAATGTTAGAT